ATGTTTCACTAAGAAATTCTTATTACTTAGTCAACTTTATGTTCTTAATTAGCTTATCCATTTCTAAGTTGCCTCATCTTGTGTAATTAATCCTTATCTAGAGACCATAATGATATGATTGTCATGAACCCTGCTGGAGCTTCCATTGCCGCTGCATACATGCATAAAACGTCCATATTTAAACAAAGCATATCTTTGTAACTTCAATAGTTTTAGAGGCTGATTCTACATTGAAGTTGAGTTAGCATTTCCAAAACAAGCCCCTCAAGAAATACTTTATCTGATAATGCACGTATTTTGTAGCTAAATACAGCCTGTGATAAGGGAATTAGTTTTCCACCCAAAAAACTAGATGCTGAAAGGGTTGAGTCATTAATTTCTTCTCTTGGGTGCATCCAGACTCCCAGTTTTCATAGTCATGAACCTTAATATACTCCTATCTTGCCTGCCACTATTACCTAGATTACAATGCTCAACAGCGATCTGATGCATTCAATCTTTTAACTCTCTCTAATCAATAATTATATTCATCAACCGTATCTAACTTGACTAAATTTTGTTCCTCAACGTTCTATATCTTCTCTGTTTCATGTGCTTTACATTGTGTAATATAGAGCAATGGGTTGAAATTTGCTGCAGGCACAGTATGCTCCTAGCTTACCCTATTGATGATTTTCGGATGTGTTGAGTTAATGAAAAACACATGCAAGGGGTTAGAACAACCGTAAGCACCTTATTATAGCCCAGGTGCCCAAACTGGCACACGAAAATTTTGAAAAAAGTAAACGAAAATGAAAATTACATAAGAGGCTGAATTGGTGTTGCAAGATGTAATGTAGTTACAGTTCAGTATTTCAAAGCCTTTTTGAGTTTGCTTTGTGACCGCATGGGACAATGTATGTGGTGAGTTCAGCTTGTAATAACTTGGATAAATAAAAGAGAAACCTGATGAGTATTAGTTTGCATTCTACATGATTTTTGCATTTCCAAACTGATGACTTGGTTGCATTTTGACTTTAGGTATTTGTAAGGTTTTCTGGGTGGATGCTCCTGATTACTCTCTGAAGGTTTCTGCTTATGTGTGGTGGTAGACAATATATATTTGGTGCATGCTAAAATGCATGTTCAATAAGTTATGATCCTCAATTCCCTAACTCCTCCCAATATAGGTGTCAAAAGTAACTTATTTTCGCTCTACTTTATGGCTTAAAGTCAAGAAGTTTTGTTTTTCCATTTAGTTTGGGTAAGACAAACTTGCTGCGCGTCTCAGAGTAAGGTGTGCTTAATATCATTGTTGGTGCATTGCATAAACTCTCTACTTTCCTTAGTTTCCTATTTCGTCTGATTATACAAATAGATTTGTAATGATCCTCTTTTCTTTTTGACATTGTCCCTGAAGAGATATACAAGCAAGCAGCATTCTTCTTGATGATAAATTTGAAGTGCGGTTAGGGAGCTTAAGTCAGGTCTGTGCTCAAGAAGGGGACAATCATCAAAATAGAATCACCCGGTTGCTGCGGTTGCCACAGTAAGTGATCCTTGATATTTGCTGCTTCGTACAAGTCCAAACTCCATTTTTGGATGTATGGCACAAGGCCCATGCATAGAAAAAGCTTTATCTGAAGCGTTTGGGATCTACCCTTCTACTGGGAAATTACTTTATGTTCTTTCCAACTGGGTTGAAGATGGTGCTATTTGTTACTTTTATACTTTTATATACTTGCATGCCTATCTTAAGGAATACATGCACTTGGGCCTCTTCCAAACATGATTTGAAGGGTCCTAGCTATGCCAGAGTAATTTTCTTTAAATAGAATGTAACTTGAGTCCCTCAAAAATCAAATATGCGCTGTCATGCTCCTCTTCCTGAAAAATATTTTGGTTGTAGTGGAATTGAGGTCATTAGTTGTTTAATCATTGGTGTTGAGTTAAATATCTTTGTTGTTGGGGAAGTATTTGAGTATAGATTGCGGGAAAAAAGAGCATTTCAGTATATATGTCATTTGTAATTCCTTATGATCTTTTAAAAATTGATGGCAAGTAAGACCTTGCCTGTCTTGACCATCAAAGTACCTGCAAAGTTTTGGAACTGGGTTCCAAATGGAATTGACTACCCTTTTGATTCAGCTCATTGATTGCCAATTTCATTTACTACATTGAATTACTCAACATGTGCAGCAGTCATTTTAGTTCTTGTGATTTGTTGTGGGCTTTTTGCACTATAATCTTATTTTACTTAATGAATACCTGACATAGTAAATTTCTTTCTTATGTGCAGGACATCAGAACAAGGCACCTCTGGTAAGCAAAATTTACCTTGATGTAGTTCTGTTGGTCATTATGCAAGTCCTTTGTCCTTGTTGAGTTTTCTGTTCACTTGCCAATTTCAAATGCAAGTAGCTTGAGTCAACTACTGGTCTTTATCTGATATTGAGAGATTTAAGACCCTGAGTTTGTTGGTTTTGCTGGTTTCTGGTGACATTCAGCTTGCTTTTCTCATCTTTAATTTGCTGTGTTTACTGCATAAACGAAATTTTCCTCATTTGCTTTCTCAAGATATTCATTTTCCTCATTCTTCAAGATTATGCCTTTACTTTCTCTTTTCCAAATACCTTATCCAGAATTTATTTCTGTCTCGAAATGTCTAGGTACCCCCAATGCTACATGTGCCTATGATGTTTATTGCTTTGGGAAGGTCTTGCTTGAGCTTGTAACAGGCAAGCTAGGTATCAGTGCATCTGGTGATGCTGGGATGAAGGACTGGCTGGAGCAGACGCTACCCTACATCAGTATATATGAAAAAGAACTGGTGACAAATATTGTTGACCCATCGTTGATAATAGACGAAGATCTATTAGAGGAAGTATGGGCCATGGCTGTTGTTGCCAAGTCTTGCCTGAACCCCAAGCCCTCGAGACGGCCCCTGATGAGATATATTCTTAAAGCTCTGGAAAATCCTCTGAAAGTGGTTAGGGAAGAACACACTAGCTCAGCAAGGCTAAGAACAACTTCCTCGAGAAGCTCATGGAATGCTGCTCTATTTGGTAGCTGGCGGCATAGCTCTTCAGATGTGGCAGCTATACCAGTGGCACCGGCTAACAAAATGGAAGGTGGGAGTAGCTTTAAACAGTCGGGTACAACTGGTTCTCAGGGAAGTGGTCATAATGGCGAAGGAGGCCATTCATCCTCAACTAGGAGGCAGTCCAGGGAGATTTTTCCTGAACCGATGAATGTCCAAGATGTAGAAAGGCCAAATGAGGATTAGAACTCAGATGATTTTTTCATAATTCTTTTGTTAATAACAAGAGCAGGCTTTGCATTTGAGTCCCTTGCTTGCTAATACAGCTCAACATTCTCCTCCAAGTAGGAAGATTCTGGTATTGCAAGCCCGTCTCCTTCTTACCCTAGGGGAGGGGATTTGTTTAAAAATTGCACAGCTCCACCAGAGGTAATTGGATAGAAAGATTTAAGGGAATTCTTGTTTAGCAGGAAAGAGACACCAAATTGCATGGATTTTGATTTTGGAAGTTCTTTTTTTTTTTTTTTTTTTTTTCCATTTCTTCGTGGAGAGTGAGAGAGACGAGAGTGAGGTTTAGTCCAGTGATGATTCTTCTTCCTATTTGTTTGGGGCCTGTTTTCCGTTGAAACAAGCTACAGTTTTTCTGTTTTTGGTCCTCCTGTGGAATGTAAATTATAAAGGCTCCACCTCCTTCCAAAAGATGGAAGGCGTCAAAGACAACAACCGCTACATAGTTTCTTTCTTTCTTTCTTTCTTTCTTTGTCTCTATTATTTAATCTGAATTAATTTCATTAGTTGCCTTGGGTATTATTTGCATTTCCGGTTGCGAATTCGGTGAGATTTTTCACCTTTCTTGTTCTTTTTTCCGTCTTACGGACAGCCTTTTCGTTTTTTTTTTTTTTGGTCGAAATGGTAGCTTTATATTTCATCGTAAAAACTTTATAACTGGACAAGGATCCATGTAAAAAGGACAACAGCCCTACAATTCTCATTGATGCATTAGCATCTAAGATTAGGGTTTACCGATTCTTCGTCTAACCAGATGTTAGGAGCATAAATGCTCAGTTTAATATTATCTACTTTCCCTGAATTAGCAAAAGAGAAAGAGTATTGATGAAGCAAATTACAAATGGACTGAATATCCTCAATTAGTGTAGCAACCCGCCAGTTGTTGTGTCTTGATTCCACTATATGTCCTACAAGTTTGATGTTATCCAGCTCAACTTCACTGTTCCACAGGCCTTGGTCAATGTGAAGTAAATGCCACAAATATGAAGAAGTGAATGCGTGTGGCTTGACTCAATGAAAACCAAAATTGGAGCTGCAGGGATGAAGAAGAAAGAAAAGTACGGATATACTAAATGGCACCCTTCCATTTATTTATTCATGAAGGGAAGTTATGTGTTCTCATGCAGCTTGACTGGAGAGAGACGTTTCATCCGCATTCTATGCGCGTCTAATAATGAGCCTTTTTATATGAAGAAGAAAAAGGAAGTACGGGGCACAAAACGCAAATAAGTAAAAACTAAGGGCACTAAAAACGAAAAAGAGAAACAAGCAATACAGGTCCCACCGAGATTTGAACTCGGGTTACTGGATTCAGAGTCCAATGTCCTGACCACTAGACCATGGGACCTGACTGATTGCACCTTGTTTCCTTTCTTTTATATTATTGGTTCTGAGGGTTCTGGCATAATTGTACGTAGCCCTGTGTATTCCAAGTTTCTTTCGAAGATGTGCCTTAATGTAGTTTGCATGTTTATTTTTCCTCCCGCTTTTGTTGCCTCTTGTTCGACTTTTTCATCTATACAAGCTGAGTTATGCAATGGTCCTGGACAAGTTTGGCACGAGAAGTATTTCAAAACCCTCGATACGGTTCAAAAAATGTTACTCCATATAGTATAAGATATTTAATAGTAATAAAAAAGAAAATTTGCCCAGTTATGCATGCATGTTAGATTAAAATTTAGAAACCCGTGGCTACACCGTCCATGAGGCTGCCTTAATTTAACATTTTTTTTTCTAGCAGGAAAATGTGAGATTTAAGAAGCAAGAAAGCAGAGGGATTAAACTCTAAGATCTCTACTTTCTAGGGTCTTAATTTTAACCACTGGATCAAAACCTTCTCCGTCCAACAAAGCTTTGGCATTGATAAGGTACATCTTTGAAATGTGCTTTAATATACCTCCAAAAGCCAATCTTGATTCTAGAGATAAAGACATGATGGGAAATTAAGATCGAAGTTCTTCATAGATGAATGGGGGATCTCTGTTTGTACTTGACCTCTTACATGGGATGCAATATTCACGGTTGGATCTCTTCCACGGGTTATTCTTTTAGGATCTGATGCAGAGATGTTGTGGCAGAGATGTTGTGCGCTCTGCTATCATTGTGGTATTGCTATAGTTCTTGTTATAGCCTGTAGGAGTTCCAACAATATGGCTTCATCCTTTTGGTTTAAGCACGAGAATAGGATATTAGGAAGTTATGACTACTAATTAATACATAAGTGGGTATGCTTTTGTTTCCTCAGGTTTCAAACCTTGCCCATGACATCTTTCCTCGAAAACCATGTGTTCTGTCAGTCCCAGGAAGCCATCATGTTATCTCAAGGGGTAGATTTTGCCGAGGAGGTTGCTGCATTGCTGCAACAAGTTCGTTCTCAGAAGACCGAAGCTCGAAATGCGCAAGGGGCTTGCTTGATCCTAGAACCTGTGGCCTGAGGGTTGAAGCAGCCAGCCATATATGCACATCCAGCAGGTGATGGAACTGAATATATTTAACAGTGACGGAGTAAAAGACCATAATTTAATCAAATATTGAACCTTGAAAGAAGAGAATAAAGAAGTGAACAAACCTCCAAGGCCAACAACCCCTTCTTGCGTCCGCATCATCTCCAAAGTCAACCCTCCCAGAGTATGGAGTATGGAGTATGGACAACAAGCGAGTGAAATTACACAAGGCGATCAACTGTATTTCAACTTCAAGAATTTGTTTGAGCCCAAAAGAGTACTACTAAATATGTTCTCCTTCAAGGCTGTTGTCTTTACTAAATTTCTGTTCTTTAGTTTTGACAGTGACGCTAGGTCAAATAGCAATTAGCAACCTCAAGTTATTTCATAGTATTTCTACTTTAGCTTGCCCGTCGATGGATCGAGTTGGCGGCTAAACCGAAGTCCTGATAGTACTGCTTTGAATGTGGAGCAAGGAGAAGAAAATATATAGCACCGGGTCGGCATGACAACTCATATCTGGCCCTCCTTAACTTCAACATCTCATTGGTTTTCATAAACAAAACTGAAACATCTCATTTAATACACAAAAACCAAACCTGAAGGCCCATAACCATAAGGATAGGGAAGTCGTCACCATCACCATTACTTAAATGTTAGCACCGTCCAAATCCAAACCGTAGTCTTCCTCTAGATAGAAGAAGGGTTGAAGGGAGTATACAAGCCCATAATCTTTTCTATTTCTTGAATCTATGACAATACAGATATTTCTAGTAATGAACTGATAGCCATGCACTTCAAGGGGTAGAATACAAATCCATTTTATTACAGGTCTGAGTACTGTACCTACTGCACCGCCCAGTTTGATGGAACTATCATCTGCAGTTCAACAACCCGGTCTGGCGCAATTAAAATGAATTAACACATCTTGCTAAGATTAGGAAGAGTGAGTTGCTTTGTTTCTAGGTTTTATATAACTTGACTTCAAAAAAAAAAAAAGGACCAGTAAAGAACATAGACTGAAATAGAAATGACTAGGAACCCTCCAAACTCCCTTGTAAGTTGTAAGTCAATCATTCCTCCTTATACACCGCGTTAAATTAATTTGGAAAATTTTACGACGGAATATTCTTTGGGTGTGTGGGTGGGGGCGGGGGGACAAAGGACCGATTCACCCCTCCGACTTGTCAATACCGTGTGTATCCAAGAGGACCAAGACTCAGAGTAGAAATTCACCCACTTAAATGTATAGGTATCTCATGATCATCAGGCAGAGTGAATCTAATTATATTAAATTCAGGATATTCAGTCTGCAAGTACTCCCAAATATGCTGAATGCATCTGTTTTCCTGATTCGGCCGTATTTCTGGACCCTCATTACATGTTTTTCGTCAGACAATTACTAAGTAATGAATTACTAGTAATAATGATAGGGAACAACACCATAGATCATAGATGTCTAGAATTTACGATAACTGGGAGAGGCTGGTCAAAGCCACCCTGCGGAGAGAGGATTTTCGGCTGAGCAGTATGAGTACGCCCAGTGAAGTCTCCTTGGCGTCCTCCTTCTCCACCTCCACCTTCACCTCCTTCGATCTCAGGCTTTCATCTTTCAACTTCTCCGGCTTGTTAGTGGGGGATTCATTCAAGTATCACCAAATTCTCCAAGCCACAGATAACTTGAGCGAAGCCAACCTAATCAAGCACGGCCACTCTGGGGATCTGTATTACGGAGTTTTACAAGGCGGGGTTCAAGTGGTAGTCAAGAAAATTAATCTGCCGTCGGCCCAGAGAGGATCGTACTATTTCATATCAGAATTAGAGATTCTCCACAAGATTTCTCATCCTAGAATGGTCCCTTTGCTGGGGCACTGCTCCGAGAATATGAACAACGACTTCCTGGTTTACGAGTACATGCCTAACAAGGACTTGTCCAGTTATTTGCGTAGAGAGACTGGAGATGACCACGGCCAATTAGCATCCTTAGATTGGATAACAAGATTGAAGATTGCAATTGGAGCTGCTGAGGGTCTGTGTTACTTGCACCATGACTGTGATCCCCCGATTGTTCATAGGTAGCCCAACAGCAACTCCCAATTCTTGATCAACTGCAAATGATGCCTATGCACCATCTTTTTCCCAAATGTGAATTTTATTACATACGTAAAAGTTAATTTGACTTGCGGTGCCTCTCGCTTACATAGAGATTTTCAAGCTAGCAGCATCCTTCTTGATGATAATTTTGAAGTGCGGCTCGGAAGTCTTAGTGAGGTTTGTGCAGCTGCGGAAACCGACCCCAGAGAGACGAGGTTTGCCAGGTTCCTACGGTTGCCAAAGTACGTAAGCACTTGTTATTCAATTACATTTCTATCTCTGGTAAAATTGGCCGATCTTTAGGAGCTTTCTGGCTAGGTTCACAAAACAGTAGTAGAAATTAAGTTAATCGATGGGATACAGTTTTCAAAAGAAAACTTTTGGCTGATTTGTCGACCGTTCTTTTCTTTTCTTCTGTATAAACAGGGCCATGCGGGCTGGACAAAGCACTTCCGGTATGTGACTTCTGGTTACGATTTACGAATAGTTGTTGCACATTATCCTCTGCTCCTTCTTTTCCGGTTTAAATTTGCTTAAAAGTGATTTCAGCACTAGTATTAACAAGCATGGTGTGTTGCTTTTCATTCTTCAACTGGCACCAATTTTCTACAGTATTTCACGAATCATCGGTGAGGATTGCACTTAGCAGTTGCCTCTTTGGTTATTTTTTCTCAAAGAGTTACTCCATAATACTACTACTACAAAATGAATGGTTAGAAGCCAACTTCTAAACCCAACCCTTTTCTTGATCAGCCGCGCATTTGATCTTTTCCAATTTCGTTTATCTCAAACATCTGCTCTTTTTAAAGGCAAGTCTAATTTTTTTCCCTTTATAATTCCTCCAACCATATTTTAATTCATTTTAACTTTGAGTTCTTTATTTGTTAAGAATTTTTTTTTTTTTTTACTGTTTTTTGATTATCTGTTCCCCCAACTCAAAATCGTCCGTCCGTCCGTCTGGTTCTGATGTCCGACGGCTTAACCCATGTTAGTTGACTTGTAGGTGAACGCAGAAGTAGAATTTGGGAGATAGAAAATACAACTAGCTAGTGTGATGTATGGAACCTCTCTTGATAGTGTGGTATAAACTAGTCCTATCACATCATAAACCTAACAGGATTTGATTATTGAATTATCGCTGTATTTTAGATGCATTTAAATTGGTTGTCCTTGCATTGCCATTGGCTCCTTCATTCCAAGAATTAAGTAATACTACATGCAACTTACCACCTGCCCCAAAAAAAAAAAAAAAGGGGAACGACAGATACCAAATTTAGGTGAACGTCAGATGCCAAATTATTTTAATTAAATCTGCAACCCAAAAAAAAAAAAAAAAGATTCCTCAAGAAAACCAGAGATCAAACTCTCCAATCTTCTAGTAGAAAATTCGACAAGGTTGACGAAAGACCTAATCTTGGGTTGCCAGGTGCATCTAATGCCACGTGTGCGGACGATGTTTATTGTTTTGGTAAGCTTTTGCTTCAGCTGGTCACCGGCAAGCTCCGCTTGAATGCGGCCACCGATTTCCCGGACACCATCCCTCCAATTGGTCGACCCAAGAATTGGAAAGACTTGACATTGCGAATCTACGATAAGGAGCTTCTTCGCAAGGCTATGGACCCGTCTTTCATCATGGCAGAGGATCTCTTCATGGAAGTATGGGCGGTGGCTATAGTTGCCCGGGCCTGTCTCAATCCCAAACCTTCCCGGAGGCCCCAAATGCTACAGGTGCTCAAGGCTTTAAGAACGGGCAAAATTACTGATGATGCTTTTCTTGAAATGACCAGAATTATTCAATCTTATCAAACTTTTTTAGGACCCATCAGTCCTCAATTTGATACCGGACAATTCTAGACCCATTCTTGTACAGCCTCATCTAGGCCTAGTCTCGTCTCCAGTGTACAGTGTACATCCTTGCACATTATTATTATTTTGGTTAAAATAGGCTTGCAAATTATAGAGTATTATGGTTTTATAATAGAGCAGTAATTTCAAAAATCAAAGAGTGACAAGCCACATTATTTCCCCCTTTTTTTTTCCCTCGAATGCATTGGTTTGCCACCTATAATCGTAAGTAATCATCCTATACTTTTAGAAAAATAAAATTTTTGCTATGTAAGATTTGTCTTAAATAAAATAAATGAGGCAAAATGAAATGAAGACAACATATCTTGATTGAGTGTTTAGGAGCTCCTTGAATTAATTTGTCGGAAGTAAAAGCAATTATATTTTAATCCTCAGTTTAGGACCTCCTTGAATTAATTTTTTAAGAATTAAAATTCATTTCATCTTAAAAACTTTTTTCCTATACACTTTTCTTTGACGTTTGTTCTAAAATATCTAATAATGTGCAATTTTCCCTTCAACGCATCCGACAACATTCGCGACCGACCAGCCACTCTAGTCACTATTTCCAAGTAACGGCCTTGGAATCATTTCGTCAGTTTAGCCAAAAGCTAGTACTCAAATTTTTTCTGGTTTCGGCTTGTACAAGTATATAAGTATTTCTTTTTATCAATTGATTGAGACTTGAGACTTAATGTGTCGTGTACAAATTTCTCGACATATTTAAATATTTTGAGGATTGTGATTATTTTCAACAGCAGAAGTCTACGGTTAATCAGTATAATTAATATGAGCAAAAGTCATTGCCTTAAAATATAAGCACTGTGAATTCAGTCAAAACTCGAAAGACAGTGATGCATATTCATTCACCCGAGTTCTGTATTACAAACACCACAACCGCCCTTTACCAACCTCTGATAACAAATCTATGCGTCAAAAACTGTTAAATGGAGAATACTAGGCTACAACATGACTACCCCATGAATTCATGGAAAGAACAACCGACTGAGATCTATGCAAACTCAATGGTGTCTGTCTGGGGGTTGAGTGGATCTTTGTAGCTTTTCTGTAGATGATCACGGCTGTGGATACTTGCTAGAGCAAAATTGTTGCTATCTATTGCTCCAACCAGAAATGGATGGAACTAACGTAACGGAGTTTGCATGTTTCTCCATCCTGCAGATAAATGGCTTCTATTTAAAACAAATACATCTAATAAACATGGAGAGAGAGAGAGAGAAAGAGAGAGAGAGAGTACTTTGAGATTTCTTCAGCTGCCTTTGCAACTTCTGAAGAATTGGTCTCAAGAACTTGACCTCCTAAAATGATTTCATCTAAAATTGAATGGACCTGCAAAACTGTTGCAAATGAAAAACTAGGGACAAGAAGCATATACGCGCATATTAGCAGCTCGTATGGGGCTAGTCAAAAATACATCATGTTACTTGAGCCGGTTATCAAAATCCAAATGAATAAACGCTAGCATGTTTGCTTGCTGGTTATCAGACACCA